ACCCGTTCCAACCGGGCCATGTCCTTCTTGTGCTGTGGACTGCAGAGCTGGACACGTTATTCCCGGTGGGGTCTCACCAGAGCAGAGCAGAGCAGAGGGGTGGAATCACTGTCTCCAGTGGCAATTCCACCTCCCGCTGCTCTCCTGGGCTTCGCACAGGGTGGGACTGGGTTTGAACTTCTTCTCCCATTGCTTGCAGGGTGATGCCCATCCTGGGGTAAGTCAGACACGTCCTCAGGGGGTGCAGCAGAAAGATGGGGGGCTCGGGGCAGGCAGTGCCCCTGCTCCTTTCCTCCACACACCAGTGAGGTTTCAGACATGGATCACCACATCCCCTATAGCACACATCTCAGAAGAGGAGGGACGGAGGCTGCGAGTGCCCCGAGATGTCTCTGAAGTGACAGCAACCTGCTTTATGCCCTTTACTTTATTCCCACTTATAAAAATAAGCCCTACAAGCCCCCAGCTAGATGTAGCTCTCGCTCCCTTCCGTAGGCACCGGCGGATCCCAGCTACCTCTCCCACTAAAGTACCCAGATACAAACATCCACCCACACCGTATATAACCTCTTCTCAGGCTGTAAAAACGGGAAGCTTTAATTGATACTATATTTCAAAGTGTTGTGCAGCAAGGACATGCTCCAGGCTGAGTCCTCCAGGGTATCTTTCTCCAGCCCTGCCTTCCCCGCCAGCCGCTCCCATCGCTGTAGCTCTACTTTTTGAGTGATTACTTACAAGAAAGGAAAAAAAAAAAGAAAAAACATCAACCTAAAGCCACAACCCAACTATTGAATGTGCAGAGCTGAGTGGCTCACATAATCATAAGGGGGTTTTATTGCTCAGACGGAGGGGCTCTCTTTCCTTTCTTCCCCCCCTTTGACACTGCTAAGGGTCCTCTAAATAATGCTCTGCATTTCCATACCCTCATAAAAGCCACTCCGAGCCCTTCTATAAATCCCAGCCACCTCGGAAATCAGAACGACGCCTCCCGCTCGGCGCCGGCTGACGCTGCCCCAAAACGCGATGCCCTGGAGCTGCAGAAGGGAGGGAGGGGAGGATGCTCCCCCCATGGCATCCTCAGAGATTTAGAGGCAGTGACCCAATTCTAGGAGGCAGGACCCCCCCCTGGTGCCCCCCCCTGCCAGCCACGGCAGCTTCTGCCAGGCTTTCCTGGATCTGCCCCCTCCCCGTGAAATGAAGGCAGAGCAGCTGTACAAACCAGGCAGTAATTGCTCACAGGAGCCGGGGGGGGACACACAACCCCATCAAATGAACAAAAGGAAGAAAACAAACCGAGAGAGAGAGAGAAATAAGGGCAATAGAGACAGGCTGGTTATTAATACTGCCGCTTGGAATCTATCCTCCCAGCCTTCGCTGCCAGTTGGCTTCTGGTCCCAGTTCTTCCCCTCCCAGTTCCCATCCCGCAACTCCAGTTGGGCTTGGGAGCTTCTTTATCGCCGTTGCTCAATTTTGGGGGGGGTGGGAGTGGGGAAGCTGCTTTTCTCCAAGGCTGGAGACATTTGGTGGGGTTTTCTCCCCCCTCCTCCTCCTCCTCCTTTTCCCAACTTGGCTTTGGCTCCTGGCGCCCTGGAGCTGGCTGGCATCTATTTAAAGTTTCCTTCAAAGACGAGTTTGCATCTGCCAGGAGAGGGATTTCTTTCAGCCTCTCTCTTTGTTTGGCTTTTCCTGCAGAGGTGTCGGTGGCTGCTCCGCGTTAAGATTCTCCTTGGCTACTGGCATCTATTGAAACACCGTGTTTCAAAAAAAAAAGGAAGGAGAGGGCACCCTTCTCTCCAGCACGGGAACGTCTCCCGTGATGGCACCACCCCTGCCTTATCATCATGCAAAATACACAAGAGAAAAGCTCAGGGAACCGGGCTATTTAAGCGCACGGCAGCGCTGATGAGAGTTGGTACAAACCCTCAGGTGCCACAGGGAGAGGCTGGTTTTGGAGCCATCAAAGCTCCCAGCCTCGGCCAAGCCAAAGGCATCAGCTCATGAGGGGATGTCCACACCAACCCCCTTCTGCACCAAGGGAAAAAGAATCACAGAATCTTCTAGGTTGGAAGGGACCTTAAAGATCATCTTGTCCAACCGTCAACCTCACTGACAAAAATAGACACCCACACAACAAACAAAAAGCAACACCATCACTAAACCAGACCTCCCAGCACTACATCAACCCGTCTTTTGAACACCTCCAGGGATGGGGCCTCAACCTCCACCCTGGGCAGCCCATTCCAATGGCTGATAACCCTTTTGGTGAAAAAATTTTTCCTAATATCCAGCCTGAACCTCCTCTGGCATAACTTGAGGCCATTTCCTCTCGTCCTGTCGCCTGTGACTTGGGAGAAGAGACCGACCCCCACCTCTCTACAACCTCCTTTCAGGTAGCTGTAGAGGGCAATAAGGTCTCCCCTCAGCCTCCTCTTCTCCAGGCTGAATACCCCCAGATCCCTCAGCCTCTTCTCATAAGACCTGTGCTCCAGAAGAAGGTTTAAACCCCCCCAGGAGCTTGTCAGGGAGGAATGAGCCCCCTATTTTCCATCAGCATAAGACTCCGGGTGCCCAATCTCTTCAAACACAGCCAGCCATATTTTTTTCCTGGGTATCATTAAAATTTCCCAGCCCGTCACTGTTCTGTAATGTCTTTAAATGTTTTATAATATTTTGCCGCCAGTTGGGTGCTGCCTTGGGATTTGGTGTTATTCACAAAGAAGGGACAACTTTAAGAGCTTTTCTCTTCCCAGGCAAGGGACTCTGCCATCGCATAAAATGATGAGATTTCAGTAAAAGTGATAGCCACTGCAAAACGTCTTGGCTGCCTCTATGTGAAGAATTTGACTGTTTCTCATAAAAAATATTAAAAAAGTTTTTGCAGTTTGTAATTATATTTTACAGTTTCATTACAAAGCTCATTTTAATTCTTCTCCAAACCGTTTTTACCAGTCCTCTTGCCACTTTCTCTTTAGAAAAGTCATTAAGTCGGGACTGGAGTTCATCCCATTTCCCCCAGTTTCAAGGATATTAATCTGTTTTATTGGTATTTCATTGTCATTTCCATTCGAGTGTTCTCCGTATTTGCATAATTTGCATTGCCACCCCCTTCCCGGTGACAAGCACAGCCTCAGCTTTTCACTTTCACTCTACCCAGTCACATTGCATTTTGTTTTATTTTCTTTTTTGAGGACACAGTGTCTTCCCTGGGCCAGAACCACAGATGAGGAGCAGGATGCTGGGGTCCTACCTCCATCGCTGCCCTCCTGGCTGACTTTCAGCAAGTATCAAAACCAGCTGTGACCTTCCAGTCCCAGTGATGAGCTGGCAAGTGCCCATCTCAAAGGGAAACAAGGTGACACCAGAGCAGCCTCATTTCCCAGGTTCAAAAAGAGTTCCTCTTCTCCAGCTCCTCAGAATAAATATTCTGAAATCTGCACAGATCATTATGTGCAGCCTGGACAATCCTTAAAGCCTTTTTAGAAACAGGTCAAGGTCCACACAAGTCCCTTGTTTCAAGTTATGCCTTTTTCATGTCTCCACTGATGTTCAGCTCCTCCAACCTGAGACAACCATGTTCTCCTCCTCTGTTCTTTAAGGACCAAGGTTTTACCACTGGGATCTTCCATGTACCCAGAGATTAGGTTGCAATTTCCAGAATCAGCAGCTAAGGAGCATCCTCGGGGATCAGAGCAGAGGTGGCTTCACACTTCAGCACAGGGGCATCGACCCACATCGACACAACACCCACCCCACGAGCATCGTTAGGCGCAGACATAGAAGTGGGGCTAACGAGGCAGCGAGGGCCAGTGGGGGGGCTGGGGAGGGTGCTCTGTGGGTGCTGCAGGACAGGTAACGCTCAGCAAATGCACATCACAGCCAAGAACAAATCACTCTTCACAGGGCTGAATCTCACCCCAACCACACTGGTGAGTCCCTCCCCACCACAGGGTGATGGTTTGAGCCCTTCTCCATCACCCCCTGCTGCTGTGGTGCCGCTGCACCTCTTCAACCATCTACTTCTCCCCAAAATATTAACCCCCCCAGGATCTGCCCTCCATCCCAGCCCCCAAACTGGGGGGCTGGACAGGAGCTGGTTTTGCTGGGACACCCTGGTGATGTACTGGGCTCATTGAGGCATGTTTCTGGCAGGGAAAAAGTGCCCCCTTTGCATGCCCCGAGCTGCGAGACGAGCGCAGGAGCTGAGGAATTGGAACCGACTGAATAATGGGTCCCGTCTGCTGGAAGAAAATGAAATTTGCCCTCATGTTACTGAAAACTTGCACTCGACGCTCACTGCACATTATAAAGAAAAGGTCAGTGAAACACAACAAACGCGAGGAGCCCAGCTGGAGAAAGCAATAAGTAGTGACAGCAGCCCTTGTCTACTTTTTCAAAGCGTCTCTGCCTTTGCTCAAACCCCGGCCATCTCACTCTGCGTGGGGCTGGGACAAGCAGCTTGGCTGCTGCTGCAGGACAGGGGGACATCTGGCTGTGCGGGCTCCCAGGGCTTGTCACTGAGGTTGGAGGAAATCAGGAATAGCCACCAGACACAATAATAATAATATTATTAATAATTATTATTCTTATTAATAATTTCACTGAATTTCACTGATTTTTTTTTTAGAGTTGGAAGGGACCATAGAGATCATCTAGTCCAACTCCCCTGCTAAAGCAGGACCACCCAGAGCTTGTCAGAGCATGTTACTCAGGAGCATCCAGGCAGGTCTTGAAAATCTCCAAAGAAGGCTCCTCCCTCAGCCCGCCCTTGAGATACTTGTAGGCATTAATAAGGTCTCCCCTCAGCCTAATAATACTAATAATTATTAATAATAAATAATGATAGTAATAATATATATAATTGAGATTTCAGGCTCAGAGATGTGCTTAGCTCCTCTGGGAAGGGGGATCCCTGCAGCCAGGGCAATTCCCAAAGAGAGAGACCCCCATGTCCCAAACACACCCATTGGGGCAGTGGCATCCAAGTCCCCGGAGGGTCTTACCGTCCGCGATGAAGTGCTCAGGCACATGAAGTGTCACCTTGACGGTCAGCGGGCAGGAGAGCTGGGAGCCACACACCACGGCCAGGATGCAGGAGCTGACGGCGATGAGGGTCAGCGCCGTCTTGTTGACGGGGCTCTTCATCGAACCTGGAAGGCAGAGAGAAGGGTGGGTGGGCAACAAAGCTCTACCAGGGGCTCGCTCAGCTTCTCCCCTTCCCTTCATGGATGCAGGAGAGCCCCAGCCCCGGGGAAGGGCAGGTATTGAAAAGCCAGACTTCAGCTCAGTAGGGCTGGAAGAGCTCCTGAGGTCTGCAAACCCCATCATCCCCATTGCCCCTTGCTTGGCTGGGTTTTTAAACACTCGTCTTGTTTCACTCACTGGGTTACATCCATCTCAGGATGGATCCATCTCATCCATCTCCATTTGTACTTTCCTAGAGGAGGGAGAAAATCTTCTCAGAGCCCTGTTCACACCCTCTCCCTGGGAACCCTCCATCCCAGGAGCCGTTCACCACCCCTGCCAGGCTTCCCCCAGCAAAGTTCCTGTCACTTTTTGTCAGCCTTGGTTGTTTCTAGCAAATCTTGCCAAGTCAAAAAAAAAAAAAATAATAACCAAGCCAAATCCAAGGACTGCCTCCACCGTGGCATCATTTGTTTTGCCTTAACACCAGGAGAAATCGACACCTGTAGATGTTATATAGCACCGAGGAGTGTTAATTATTTACACAAATATATATAAATATTCAGTCATCACAGGGGGACTACGCTGAAGAACAAAGCGACCTACAGAGCCAGCCGCTTTTGACAGGCAGGAGATATTACAAAACAAGTTTTATTTTGTCGAGCGCAGGAGCTGACGGCATCTCCCACAAAGCAGCTCAGCATCTCCCCCCAGATGAAAGCCAGCCGCCCAAGCAGGTACCCAGCCCACCCTGTCCCCCCTGGGTGCCTGGGACACTCTCAGACTTCCATCCCTCCTCTCAAAGGCACCAGAGCAAAGGGATGCCTGACCTGAGGAAGAATTCCTTGAGGCTGGGGGGATCCCATCACCCCCCGGTTCTGCCAGGCTTGGTTGGTGGCTTCGATTTTAATTTGGATTTTTTTTCTGAAGCATTAAGTGAAAGCCAACAAGCTGATGAGGAGCTTGAGCATCCTCAGGTCTAGAGAAGATGGCAGCAGGTACAAACCCACCAGGAAACCCTCATGGAGCAGGGTGGCATTAAGATGACAGAATCACCCACTATGGAGCTTGAGCATCCTCAGGTCTAGAGAAGACGGCAGCAGGTACAAACCCTCCAGGAAGCCCTCATGGAGCGGGGTGGCATTAAGACAACGTAATCACTGTCAACTACGTTTGGGTGGGACAGAGCAACCTCCAAACTCCGCAGGGAAGGGGGTGAAGCTGGGCAACACAGAGTCATCAGGAGAGACCTGCCTGCCTCAGGAGCTTCAGATGCTCTTGTTGGGTGCAACCAAGAGCAGATGTGTCCAGATGAGACCTGTGTCACTGAGGGAGAGTGTCCCTCGCTGAGGGAGACCTTATAGCCCCTTCCAATACCTGAGGGGGGCTACAAGAAAGCTGGGTAGGGACTGTTTGCAAGGGAAAGTAGCCACAGGACAAGGGACAATGGTTTTAAACCAGAGCAGGGTAGGTTTAGATTAGACATTAGGAAGAAGTTCTTTACAATGAGGGCAGTGAGACACTGGAACAGGTTGCCCAGAGACGCAGTGGTGTCCCCATTCCCAGAGTCACTGAAGGTCAGGCTTGATGAGGCTCTGAGCAATCTGATCTAATTAAAGATGTCCCTGCTTACTGCAGGGGGTTTGGACTAGATAAAGGCCTCTTCCAACCCAGCACATTCTATGGAGAAGACCATAAGAAACAGTCCCCTGGCAGCTCCTACCTCATCAACAGGACTCAAGAAAGGAGTAGCCCTGGAGAGCATGGCTTGGGGCACCACTAGTCCCCTGCCATCCATCCACCCCTCCAGTGCCTGGAGCTGCCCCACCGCTGCTCCAAATGCACCACATCCCCCATAGCCCCCCAGTCTGACACTGCTTTGCTCAACCCTAACGACAGAGGCCTTGCAGAGCAGCTGGATCCCTGCTCCCGTGCTTGGGACACCGATTAAAACCCACCCGGGGAGAACGGCAATGCCAAGGAGAGGGCACAGCCTGGCAATTAACCCCGGCCACCACACAGTCTATACTGAGATGACGGAGGCTCCTGGCAGACCTGACCGAGTCCCTGCTCAGGATTCAGGTGAGGACAACTGATTTATTTTTTCGGAAGCCGATCCGGCCTCTCCTCCTTCGCTCCCTGGCCCTCGCCATCTCATCAGCGGAAAGCGAGATTTTAAAAAGCATTATCAGTTTGAAAATGGAAGGGGGAAAAAAATAACACCCAGCAAGTTAGCACTTGCACAGCCTGGGATGTGACCAGAGCTGCCGGGAGAGATGCTGGTGCCAGGGCAGGGAGCTCAGGCTGAGCCCAGGGCACAACTTGCCTTCTCCAGGCAGGACACCACGTCCCACCAAAGCATCCCTTGCTGCAGGACGGAGCCTGCACGGCGGATGCTCCGACCAGCATTTGCAGGACAGGAGAAGCAGCTGATCTGCTGGAAAACACCCCCATCACTGCGACCACCAGGAGCATGCAAATTGATTATTTATGAAGCCTCTTTTACTCTCCTTATGCGTGCATCATCTAAACAGCCTTGCCACCCCTCTTTCACAGCTTTGTCGCCAAACTCCTGCGCCCTTCACCTCGCGAGCCCCTTTTTTCCTTCCCCATCTTTATTCATATCGTCAGCATAAGTTAGCACCTCCTTGGGGGGCAAACTCATCCTCTCGCTGGGCATACTGTGCCTGCCACAAACCCTGTGTTTGGTTGGAGTTACTACAGGCATGCAAAAAGGAAAAAGGGGGAAGGGGGGGCAAAGGGAGGGAAGAAAAAATAAAAAAGAAGGAAAAAAGCCTCCATCAGGATAATTGGACACAGCCAAGTATACAATAGACGAGAGAACACTGGATTTTACCATTATAAATCACCTTTCAATCCAGGGTCTTAAAGTGCTTTGCAAACATTAAATCACAAATCCCTTCTGAGTTAGACAAGTATTATCCCCGTTTCACAAAGAGCCTGAATCGCAGGTACGGTGGCAGCTTTCACCATCCTGCAGCTGGAGTGGAGCTGGAGGAATTAGGATCCAGGAGCTCCCATCTCCATGGGTCCACGGAGCTTCTTCTTTCCCCGTGACTAAGAGGAGAGGGGCACAGGAGCTTGAAACAGCAAAAAGCCCATTACAGCTCAATGAGTTTGCACTTGGCTGCCCAAGGAAAGGGACAATGTGCTACAAGTCTCCTATAACTACCTTCTCCACTCCCCTACCTCCTCCTCCCGGCTCGTTTCCGCCACGGCACTAATTACTGAACTCTAGAACTGCCTGATGTTGGCTTTGACCAACTGAACCAAAACAACAGGTCTTCTGCTTGAGCAGAAATTGGATTTCCAGCTCAGCTCTTTATTGCTCATGGCCAGTTTGCTGCCAGGTTTGATGAGAGGCTGTTGGAAAAGCAGATCCTTCCCTCTTTCATGAAAGAGACGGACATGGCTCCCCTTCTCCATCCCATTGCCTGCCCTACAGGCCACTGATGCTGCAGGAGAAGTGCTCCTCTGCTGCCTTTAAACACCTGTCTGGAAGGAAACAGCTTTGTGCCAGGCCTCTAAAACCACAAGCAAATGTATTCTTAGCAAAAGTTACTGCCAACCAAACCAACCTCAACAGATTCACTGGGGCTTCCCGCTCCTGGCTGAGAGTGGAGACAAAATGACCAATTCCTTGGCCTGGGGAGGAATCCAGACCCAGCTCATAACTCAGGCAGCACTACATAAAGCACAACATCGCAGGTGGAAGCTCTACCTGGCTGAAGCCTGCTCTTTCCCTCCTCTCCATGTCATCCCCAGGCTTTCAGGGAGATGTTTAAAGTGCAAAACCCATGGTGAACTTGAACCAAGTTGAACCACCAAACAAGCTGGTATCAACCTCCTTGACCAAGAGGACAAAGCCTGGGGGGAGAACACAAGATCTTCACGGATGGCTGATGGGACTCAGGAGCCCCGAGAGCCTCAGCACCCAACACAAGTCTTCATTTGGGTCTTGTAGGGTCCAACAAGCCCAAGAGGAAGGCGGTGACCAGGTACAGCTGAGATCAAACTCAGTCTCCAGATTCGTCTGCCCTACCAGATCCTTCAGATATTGAGATGACCTCTCTGTATTTTTAATTAAACAGGTTTCTGCTGCATTTTGGATGGTTGCAGTGGAGTGAGTGGGTGCCCAAGTGCCCAGGTTGTTTTGGGGGGAAAGTGATGGCCCGTGGGGGCTCCTGGAGGAAGCAGACCCAGGGAGCCTGTGCCCGAGGAGCGGGCAGAGCAGGGGGCAGAGCTGCAGGCAGGACATGTGAGGAGGATGAAGAATAAGAACACATCACTTCTTCCCCAAAGGGGAGAAATAACCTCTCCCCCAGCCTGTGAGAGCAAAGGAGAGAGAAGCAGAAAGGGAAGACAAAATGCTCAGTTTTAGGGCAGAATCATACCAAACACATCACTTCTTCCCCAAAGGGGAGAAATAACCTCTCCCCCAGCCTGTGAGAGCAAAGGAGAGAGAAGCAGAAAGGGAAGACAAACTGCTCCGTTTTAGAGCAGAATCATACCGGAGATGCTTCCTGCTAGTGATCCAATTAACGGCAGCTTAATTAGTCTGGAAGACAAGAGGAATAGCCAGGACTGTGGTCAGAGGGGCTCCTGCCACCGCCACCTTTCCCACCCAGGATTTTCTCCCCGTTAGCACAGCTGCCAATTAGCCCAGCTCCGGCCTCCTGGAGAAGATGCGGGTCCCTCTGCAGACAGCTCGGAAACAGCTTGCAAAGCACCACATTCCCCAGAAGATTTTGCACCTGCTGCAAGATGAAGATAAATTCAAAGCCACCGGTGTAAACACTCCGCAAACAGCCCCTCCAAATGCACCGTGTCTCCTCTGAAAGATCATTTCCTCGCGCGGTTAATTACTCGCTGCTTTGTACACTTTCCCTTGCCCACCTAAAGGACAAGGTGGGGGGAAAAAACACCCGACAAAACTCGGGAGCTC